ATTGTCATTCATCTTTTGTAAGTAAAGTAAGACAGAGAGTCTACTGCTTTGTCCAGAGTCACAAAGAGTCAACTTGGCCTTAGGACTCAGGGGGCTGGACCCTTGTCTGGCCGCCATTTCCTCAATGTAGCTCAGCAAGAATAAAACCCAGTTATTAATAGTCTGGCATTTTCCACTTATCCTGGAATATGAATTCCACTTTCAAGGCACATAGAAAGAGTCTGTGTTTTTCAAATGCAGGATGGCTTTCTAAGGTAGCACAACACATCTTCCTAACGAAGGGGTCCTTTTACACTTACGTAGTGGTGAACAAACAAAAACTTTTTTTAAAGGGGAGAACTATTCCATCACATCTTCTTTGCAGGAAGGGAACCTCTAGCTCCAAAGTATTTTTTTTTCTCTACTAAGGTTGGAAGCCTAAGATGAAGCCTGCCCAAGTTTTCAACACAACCACAGAACTGGGGCCAGAAGGTGCCACGAATGGGGTTGAGTGTGGCCAAGTCACACTGTTGGTTGACTTAGAGCCCAAATGAGAGCGGGCAGGGAAAAGAGCCAAAAGGTGAAAAGAAATGAAGTAGGAGGAAGAAAGGCAGAAAGAATGGACAAATTGTATGGGGGAGAAGTAAATGAACAAATCCAAAGAGCAAGAGAGAAGGGAGAATGCCGGCAAAAACTGTCCCTGTGGTAGGCAGGCTCTGGTCCCTGCCAGTGAACTCAGAGAGAGCCTTTGTCAGCGCTGAACTGTGGGCAGAGTCTGAGTCAATGAGTGAGTTGACTTGGAAGCTTTCCATAAGGGCACATACCAGTTCTTGTTCCATTTATGTGCGAACTCCACGAGCAGGATGAGCTGGATGCCTATAAAGAGGAAGGCTCCGATGGCTCCCACATAGCGCCAGGCTGCAAAAGAAGGCCACCCAGAAGGAGGTGACACGACTGTTCCCAGTGTTCGCTCACAAGAGAGTAATGACTACCGTCCGTTTTTGCTACATGCTCACTGTACCCGCAACACGTTTAATTCCCACACAAGCGTAGTCTTATTAGGCCACTTTACAGATGAGAAAAACTGAGAGTCCACCGAAGGTGACCAGGTCCCTTAGCCAGAATGGGTGTCACCGGATGTGAACACAGACAGTCTGGCTCTGGTGCGTCCAAGCTTAACCTCCCTGCTACAACTGCCAGATATCCCAACAGACGTAGTAATTCATAAAGTCAACACGGCCCACAACTCACAAGTGAAAACACACATTGCCAGAAAAATCAGGGGTTCTAATTTTATTGGATAGGGAGGCACCAGTGTCTAGGAAGGAAATGAGGCTCAGACTTGGGGACCACGGACTCAAAGTCTACTTCGGGCTCTGTCACAAAGGCGCCCTACACTGGACGAGCCAAGTCACAGCCTGTCTATAATAATGACTGGGCTGGACTAGAGGATGCTAGATCCCTTCCTCTTCTAAAGATATTATTCTAACGTCTGTGGGGAAGAGAAAACCAGCTAACAAGCATTTTAGGTAAAGATAAGGCGTAATTTCCTTAAGGAGGACATAAAATCAGTGTGATCTTGAAAAAGCTGGACCTTCTTCACAGGTGACTCTTTGAGGGTCTGTAGCTGTTCCTCATGGACTGACACAACGTGAATACTTTCACCATCTTAACTAGGAAAGTGAGTTCATGTGGGTAGAACAGTGCTTGAACCACTGAAATTCAGACCTCCCTAACTCCTATGAATAAGGGCTTTGATGAAAGGCTTCGTATTAAATTGTTTTTGGTGGTTCCATCAATAAGGAACACAATCCAGTGTTATGCGGCTTCACGTAAGGAAAGTTTAGAAATGGACTGGGGGTTGACTCTCTCATCCCATTAGAGCTGCAGCAGTTTTAAAGCGCTAAGAAGCCTGTTTGGAGCCCTGGCTTTTCCGAGCCACACGCAGAAAGAACAAGGTCCCAGGGCCTCTTCAAACATGGCTGGTCGTGTCAGGCTGACTTACTAAACTGACCTTCACACAAATTTTAAGTGCTTCATTTTCCCTTCATGCCCAGAACCTTACAATTATCATTTTAATTCTTCAGCCTGCTGAGTAACTAAAGGTCCTCCCACAGCCTGCCAGGAGGGGAGGGAGTGGGGAGGGACAAGGAGGAGGAGAACGGAGGGGGATAGGGAGTAGGGAGAGTGGATAAAGTGTGGGCAGGTCAGGATTTTTTTTTTAAGCCACAAGAAAGTCAGTAATTCAAAATATCAAAGGCACCCTGGACTGTGCTTTTGACAACTTTACAAAACGGGTAAAAACGTAATGAACAGAAACTCATTTGTACCATTCAGAAAGGTCTCCTGGTCTGGAATGAAGAAAGCGCCTGAGCACATGGCCCCCAGAAGCAGGAGCTTGAAGAACCAAAAGCTAGAAAGAAGGGGAAAAAAAAGAGGAAATGTATTTAAATGATATTCAGTGAAGGACAAAAGACCTCTTAGAAGGTAAGCACGTCCAGCCATGGTTCTGCCTTTGGCACTGTGCTCTCCAAATTGAGGGGAAGTAATTAAGTGACTGGAGACCGCCTTCTCCCAACATCAGACAGGCTCGGCGTGGCCTCTGATTGTGCAAAGCACCATTTTGTTGCAGGGGTGGAAGTGACCTGGGAAAAGGTCTTGGTTCAAGAAATTAACTCTTGTCTTCACCGCCTTTCTCATTATGGTACCAGTGCTACAAATGGGATCCTAGCTCTTCGGCCACTGTGCGGTGACAAGTGTTAGGTCCCACCTTCCCAAAACCAGCGTCAGCAATTTAAGCGGGAGGGAGAGCAGTCAGAGGTCCAACGATTACAAGTGGTCCTAGATTACGTTCTGAATAGAAGACCAGGGAAGCGAATGCTGGAGACTTGCCCATTGTGAATGTAGGCTCTGCAGCTTTTGCTGTTGTTGATATTTAAGGTCAGGAGGGAGAAGATAAAGAAGAAACAGGCCATTCCAAAGCAGACTCTATACACCGCGGAATACCCCACCAGCTTCTCACAGGTGTCACCAGCTTTAATGCTTTTACAAATGTCTTCGTAAAAAGGAATCTGAGGAAAAAGAGAAAAGAGTCACCTGTTAGAACTGGGTAAAGGGGCTGCTGTGAAGTGCTCCTTCCGCCTACACGTCCAAGTCCCATGTGGAAATGCACAGACACTGGGAAGAAGGCCCTCTTCCAAAGGCTTTTTCTTCGTTTCCTCTGCATCTTTTTTAAAGATTCAGTGCTCATGATGTACCACTCAGCCTTTCTTCCCCAAATGAATGTGGAAATCCAGCATCAGAATTTTTAATACATGGATATATTTTTCTTGAAATGCATAAATGTATAGCAAAAAAGTGAGAGACTTCTTTCATTCCCACCCCAAAATGTCCTCTCCTCAGGACAGTTAACAATTTGGTGAATATTTTTATTAGTTTACATACATAAATGTGTGTGTACATATGTATATATACATACCCCATACTTATACACAGCACACATACATACATATATACACTATATAGTACTGTATACATTTCTCTCTCTCTCTCTCTCTCTCTCTCTCTCTCTCTCTCACACACACACACACACACACACACAGAGAGAAACAGCTTTATTAAGTAAAAGAGTATATATTATTGTGTAACTTTTTTTTCCTAATTAACAATAAGCTGTGGAGATTGCAGAGGGCAGCCCGCCCCTAGGAGGGCCTGCTCCTGGGATCGCCATGGCAATCCCAGAGCAGGAAAGTTCCCCACACGCCGCACCCAGCAGGGCCTGCCCCCGGTCTCTGCAGTGATCCGGTGATCCATGAGCAGGAAAGCGCAGCCTGCAGGCAACACCCCACCCTGACCATAGCTCAAGGGAGAGAAAAACACGTAGTGGAGGCCAGGAGCCTGAGAGATCAACACAGAGGGGCACCTGCTCCAAGCCTCCACGGTGTGTTTGGCAGCAGGCCCCCAATGAGGCTGGGGGCAGGCCCCCAGTGGACACACACACACACACACACACACACACAGGACGCTTGCTCCGAGCCTCTACTGCCAGACTGTGGCCGTCATCCCGACTGTGAGAGAGGCAGGCTGGGCTGAGGGAACCCCACCCCCCAGTGCAAGAATTCCGTGCACTGGGCCTCTAGGGCCTCTAGTTAATACATACAAGCACACCTTTTTAACCACCATATTATCTTTTAGAGTAAGGCTAGATTAAAACTGATAAGCATTCCCACACTGATCGTGGTGGGACGGGCTCTTGTTTTGCTATCACAGACACTGGCTCAATAACACTGCTGCACATACCTCATGGCACACGTGCCATTATTTATGTAAAATAGACGCCAGATCCACAAATGGAATCAGTGAGTCAAGTAGTATCTACATTTTAAATTTTGAAGAGATAAAGTGAAATCACACTTTCAAAGGCTGCACCAGTTTATATCTCACCAGAACTATCTGATCCTGCTCAGGTTACCAACCTGGACACCCAATTTAAAGGTAAAAAACAGCCCTAGGCGGTGTGGCTCAGTGGATAGAGTGTCAGCTTGCAGACTGAAGAGTTCCAGGTTCAATTCTGGTCAGGGGCACATGCTCGGATTGCGGACTGGGTCCCCAGTAGGGGGCATGGTGTGCAGGGGGTGGCCAATCAATGATTCTCTCTCATCATTGATGTTTCTGTATCTCTTCCTCTCCCTTGCTCTCTGAAATCAGTAAAAATCTATTTTATAAAATGAAATAAAGGTAAAAAACACTATCCTGTCTCAATGTCCATTTTCCTCATTACTAGTAAGGTTCACTTTTTTTTCATAAATTTATGGCCATCTGTATTTTTCTTTGTGAATTGGCTGTTAAGTTTTTTCCTGATCCACTGGAGCTATTTATGCATATTAATCTTCTGATGAATGTTGGCAATAGTTTATTCTAGCCCCATTAGAAGGTTTCAAAGTAAAACCTATTTATATTATCAGAACTGAAATCTTATATAATGAGAAAAAGAAGTACATTTCTATGAACATAGAACATTAAGGATTTAGTCAGGGATTTAAAAAACGTATTTATCAACATCAAAGCTGAACACTCCTTCTACAGAAAAGAAGTTGAAAACACAGTATAGCTGTAATTCACAAGACAAAAGATAACACAAAGGAAAAAAATGACACAAGCTGGAGATAAAATTGAAGCATGATAATTTAGTTTCTTCTCCAGGAAAGATCTTAAAGAAACACTAATAACTGCGGCTATCAAGATTCCCATAAACAAAAGGAAGACTAAACTTAATTGGAGGTCATCTTCCCGACTGGATTCCCTCACCTCAGAAAAGGCCTGTAGCCATGACTATACCTGAATCTCAAACACGTTTTTCCTAAACAAAACGTATTTTTCAAAACTACTGCCTCGGGCAAAAATGCATGAAAGACTTCATAAAGAAATATCAAAGGTTTTGTAGTCAGCAATTTTTTTTTAGATCAGGGCAAGATGTAAATGCATAAAAAGACACTACTGTATTTTTGACCAGGCTATCAAACAAAGTAGCACACATGTAGGGTTGCCAGAATGTCTAGGTAAATTTAAATTCCAGATAAATAATGACTGATTGTTTTATTTGCACAGCATTTATTGCTGTGTAATATTCATTCAAATCTTTTCTTCCCTTCCTTCTCTCTTCCACTCTCTCAGCAAAACTAATTTCTCACACACACCTCAACCACCTGCAACACTTTCATCTACACCAGCCCATCTTTCAACTCCGGCTCTTCTCCACCTCCTGCCTCAAACCAACTTCTCTCCTTCTTCTAAAATCCATTTTAAGAATCATGCTAATGCCAGGAGCCATGAGCTCCTATCCAATCATCCCCCACAAATGCCCTCCCCTGTTGATTCCCAGAGGCCCTTAAGCGCATCAAAGGGTGAGTATGTGGCATGGCATATTTCATCCAAAATAAAAGTAGGTAAACAACCCCCTGCTCCAAATACTAAAGCCTGCTTTATGCTCTGTGGGTGACTCAGTCATGTAGCTTTCAGTAAGTAGTGAGAATTTTTAGGCAAGGAACCTCGAGTTAAATAAGCTGGCAGGATTTAGCAAGGGGAATTTGCTCTGATTAAATATTTGCTGTTCCAAACTCCATCCCAGTTTTGGAAGAAGAAAACATACATCACACACAGATTCCACACCATGGGGTGAAGGAGCTGGGCCTGGTAAGGGTGTTGCCTCTGGGCATCCAAGGACACTGCATCTGTGTTGTTTCTGTACAGACCTGAGGGCCAGTGGCTTCCTCCCAACCCTAAAGGCAATCAAACTGAAAGCCACAGATTACCAGCAAGAATAAACAGCTCACTTCCAACCCTAACTCCACCACTAACTTGGGCAAATTACACACCTTCCTGAGCCTCAATGTCCCTTCTCATGCTATGAAATACTACTGCCACCCTGTATATCTGAAACTAATCTATAATAATAAAAGCGTAATATGCTAATTAGACCGGACAGCTGGACGACCTTCCAGACGTCCTTCCAGATGTCCTTGTGGACAACCTTCCAGATGAAGTCGCGGCTGCGAGGGCCAAGCCCCTTGCACGAATTTCATCCATTGGGCCTCTAGTATAAAATAATATCGAATGCTAACTGTAATTGAAAAATAAAATAATTTAAAGAAAGAATACTGCCACCCACCTCATGAAGTTGCCCTGAGAATTAAATCAGTTAATCTTTGGAAAGTCCTTGCCATAGTTCCTAATCCATAAAACCCATTAAGTAACTTAATTCTGAAGTATTATCTTCTTTGTAAAAAGAACTTGGAGGAGGGAATCAGGCACCTGACATGAACCACTGACTGACTGGTTGATGCATTCAGATTTACACATGGCGGGAAATGAGCATCTCAGAACTCCACAGATGCTCTCTTCACTTTCCAAAGGATTCATATTGAAAGATACAGTATTCACATACTTGTCTTTTGAAGACCTAGTCACCACCGAAATCATGGAAGAGATGTTAAAAACATCAACACAAGAATTAAATTCAGCCTGGCGACTGTGGATCAGTGGTTGAGTGCTGACCTATGAACCAGGAGGTCATCATTCAAGTCAGGGCACATGCCTGGGTTTTGGGCTCCATCCCCAATAGAGAACGTGCATGAGGCAACTGATCAATGATTCTTTCTCATCATTGATATTTCTATCTCTCCCTCTCCCTTCCCTAAGAAATCAATAAAAATGTATTGTTATTGCCCTGACCGGTTTGGCTCAGTGGATAGAGCGTCGACCTATGGACTGAAAGGTCCCAGGTTCGATTCCGGTCAAGGGAATGTACCGTGGTTTCGGGCACATCCCTAGTAGGAGGTGTGCAAGAAGCAGCTGATCGATGTTTCTCTCTCATCGATGTTTCTAACTCTCTCTCCCTCTCTCTCCCTCTCTGTAAAGAATCAATAAAATATATTTTAAAAATGTATTATTATTTTTAAAGAATCAGCCATAAAAGGATGGGAATAGGAGAAAATCCACATAATTTGTGCACATAGGAGAAATTAGAGTTAGGGCCCATAACCAACTTTTATCTCAGGCAAATAAATATGTAAATGGAAAAGAGGAAGATGACAATCATGTTCCCATAATATCAAAGTATAATTTGGGAGAGATGAGAATATGGCATATTAAAAAGTCAAAAATTCTTACATTCCATATCAAATTTCTAGGGCACTGAATGAAACTAAGATGCAAAGAAAGCTTTGGGCAGCTCAAACCCCCAAAAGATTAGACTTGACCATTACCTTTAACCTCATGGTTCTGAGGGCCCCGATTCTAGTACTGAGGACCAGAACATGTCAGGCATTTAAGTTTCTGGTCATAAAAACTAGAAGAACTAGATCTGCATGTTCTGTTTAATATTCCTTATTTGAAAATGAATTTCAGAACCAAGAGCCTCTCCCAGTCTGTCTGCCTCCCCGCTTTCTGATATTCTACTTGTCCTCAAACTTTCTAAGACAATACATTTTTCTCTGTGGGTCCATGACAGTGATGTCTGTCTGTTACCCACCAATGGACAGAAGCTGTGAAATGGGAACGCTAGCATCAGCTT